ATGACCCACCAAGACCCACCAACCCAACCACGCCAAGACCCACCATGACCCACCATGACCTTGACCCACCAACCCAATGATGACCTCCAGCCCCACTATGACCCACCAAGACCCACCAACCCAACGATGACCTCCAGTCCCACCACAACCCAACGATGACCATGACCCACCATGACCTTGACCCACCATGACCTTGACCCACCATGACCTTGACCCACCATGACCTNAGGGGTCACCCGGGGGTCATGAAGGTGATTGAGGTCACCCAGGGGGTCGTGGGGGACAGAGAGGTCACCCAGAGATCACAGGGGTCAGAGAGGGCACCCAGGGATCAGAGAGGTCACCCAGAGGTCACCCAGGGGTCAGAGAGGTCACCCAGTGGGCATAGAGGTCACCTAGGGGTCCTAGAGGTCACCCTGGGGTTATGAGGTCACCCAGGGGGTCACAGAGGTCAGAGAGGTCACCTGGGGGGCAGAGAGGTCACCCAGATGTCAGGGAGGTCACCCCAGAGTCACAGGGGTCAGAGAGGTCACCCAGGGGTCACCCCGGAGCCAGACAGGTCAGCCGGGGGTCATGAAGGTGATAGAGGTCGCCCAGGGGTCAGAGAGGTCACCCAGGAGTCAGAGAGGTCACCCAGGGGTCAGAGAGGTCACCCAGATGTCAGGGAGGTCACCCCAGAGTCACAGGGGTCAGAGAGGTCACACAGGAGTCACCCCAGAGCCAGACGGGTCACCCGGGGGTCATGAAGGTGATAGAGGTCGCCCAGGGGTCAGAGAGGTCACCCAGGAGTCAGAGAGGTCACCCAGGGGTCAGAGAGGTCATCCAGGGGTCAGAGGGGTCACCCAGGTGTCACAGGAGTCACCCAGGGCTCACAGGGGCCAGAGAGGTCAGCCAGGGGTCGTGAAGGTGGTAGAGGTTGCCCAGGAGTCAGAGAGGTCACCCGGGGTCACCCGGGGGTCACAGGGGCCAGAGAGGTCAGCCAGGGGTCATGAAGGTGGTAGAGGTCACCCAGGGGTCAGAGAGGTCACCCAGGAGTCAGAGAGGTCACCCAAGAGTCAGAGAGGTCACCCAGGGGTCAGAGAGGTCACCCAGAAGTCACCCAGAGGTCACATAAAGGTCACAGGGGTCAGAGAGGCCATCCAGAGGTCAGAGAGGTCCTAGAGGTCACCCAGGGGCCATAGGGGTCACCCAGAGGTCACCCAGGGATCACAGGGGTCAGGGAGGTCAGCCAGGGGTCGTGAAGGTGGTAGAGGTCGCCCAGGGGTCAGACAGGTCACCCGGGGTCACTCAGGGGTCACAGGGGTCACCCAGGAGTCACAGGGGTCACCCAGGGCTCACAGGGGTCAGAGAGGTCACCCAGGGGTCAGAGAGATCACCCAGAGGTCACCCAAAGCTCACAGGGGTCAGAGAGGTCACCCAGGGGTCATAAAGATCCTAGAGGTCACCCAGGGGTCAGAGAGGTCACCCAGGGGGCACAGAGTTAACCCAGCGGTCATAGAGGTCACCCAGGGGTCATGAAGGTGGTTAGAGATCACCCAGGGTCCATAGAGGTCACTCAGGGGTCATGAAGGTGATAGAGGTCACCCAGGGGTCACCCAGGGGTCATAGGGGTCAGAGAGGTCACCCAGGAGTCAGGGAGGTCACCCAGAGGTCACCCAGGAGTCATGGGGGTCAGAGAGGTCACCCAGGGGTCAGGGAGGTGATAGAGGTCACCCAGGGGGTCGTGGGGGACAGAGAGGTCACCCAGGAGTCAGAGAGGTCACCCAGAGGTCACCCAGGAGTCATAGAGGTCACCCAGGAATCAGAGAGGTCACTGAAGAGTCAGAGAGGTCACCCGGGGGTCACAGAGGTCACTCAAGGGTCAGACAGGTCACCCAGGGGTCACAGGGGTCACCCAGGAGTCACAGGGGTCACCCGGGGGTCATGAAGGTGATTGAGGTCACCCAGGGGGTCGTGGGGGACAGAGAGGTCACCCAGGAGTCAGAGAGGTCACCCAGAGGTCACCCAGGAGTCACAGGGGTCAGAGAGGTCACCCAGGGGTCCTACAGGTCACCCAGGGGTTAGGGAGGTCACCCAGGGGGTCACAGAGGTCAGAGAGGTCACCCAGGGGGCAGAGAGGTCACCCAGGGGTCACAAGAGTCACCCAGGGGTCATGAAGGTGGTAGAGGTCACCCAGGGGTCACCCAGAGGTCAGAGGTCACCCAGAGTTCATAGAGGTCACCCAGGGGTCACAGGAGTCACCCAGGGGTCAGAGAGGTCCTAGAGGTCACCCAGGGGTCACGAAGGTCCTAGAGGTCACCCAGGGGTCACGGGGGCCACCCAGGGGTCAGAGAGGTCCTAGAGGTCACCCAGGGGTCACGAAGGTCCTAGAGGTCACCCAGGGGTCACAGGAGTCACCCAGGGGTCAGAGAGGTCCTAGAGGTCACCCAGGGGTCACGAAGGTCCTAGAGGTCACCCAGGGGTCACGGGGGCCAGGGGTCAGAGAGGTCCTAGAGGTCACCCAGGGGTCACGAAGGTCCTAGAGGTCACCCAGGG